AGAAAAGATCTAATAATTATAATGCTGCTAAAAATGTGTAGGGAAAATGATGAAAGTAGTAATAAAATGGATAAGAAAAGTGAAGATTGTCAGTGGATAAAAAGATAAGATAAAAAGAATTGATGAAGAAAATTGACGAAAAAAGTACGAAAATGGACAAGAAAATTAGAAGAAAATGGGAAGGAGGATAAAAAAAATTATTGATACAATTGTAAATCTGATTCAAGAGAGTTATAGGAAGATAGAGGAAAATAGATAACAAGATAAAGAAGAACTAATTAAAAAAATAGGAGAAATTATAGAAATAAATATTAAAGATACAAATAAAATGGAAGAAGAAAGATGTAAATTAGAAGAAACTTTAGAAATAAATAAGGAAGAAATAGATATAGAAACAAAAAAAGTTGACATTAACAGAAAAAAAAGAAGAGGTGAATGTAGAAGTAGAAAAAGTAAAACTATAAATTAAAAATACAGAATTTAATGAAAAAAGATAAGAAAACTAAATATAAATAGAGAAAAAATAATGAAAAATGTAGTAGTCAGAAAGAGGAGAGTTAGAAAAGTAAATAAATAAACAATTTTCAAAATTTAAAAAATATTTTAGAAATTAGGTGTTTATTATCATATTTGATAAATATAATATACAGGGTAACGAAAAAGTGTGGCAAAAATTATTAAATTATGAAATTGTAGGGCGATGAGAATTTTTTAGAGGACATGTCAAGTGTATGTGAAGTCAGCGTTTAGCGTACTGTCGCCATCTTGAATTTTCTAATTTTTTTATTTTTTGAATGACAACGTAGGTCGAGTAAACTATCAGAGAAAAGCTTATTTATTCTCTTTTCAAGTTAAATAAATGTAGAAAAATTGCATAAATCGACCGAACTTACAGAAAGAAAAATTATGAAAAAATCGACAGAATTTACAAAAAAGTACAGACCTCATAAAACAATTGATAAAAAGACTGCTGTGGCAGCAAGATCTTCTACGTAATGATAAAAATATCGACAGAATTCATAAAAACTGAGAGAACTTATAAATATGGACATCTTATAAAAATCAACAAAACTTGTGAAAACGCTAAATCAGAAATCATAAAAAATTACACAAATTTTAAAATGCAGAACTTATAAAAAGACAGAAATGATAAAAATGACAGAACTTATAAAAACGACAAAATTTACAGAAAGAGAAATGATAAAAAAATCGTCAGAACATAAAAATCCTTAGATCTCATAAAAATCGATAAAACTTATAATAATCGACAGTTATTATAAAAATCAACACGACTTAAAAAAATGCTACATAAGAAATTACAAAAAAATTACAGAATTTTAGTAAAAATGCAAAACTTATAAAACAATTGCCAGAACTCGACAGAAGTTACAAAAAAAGAAATGGTAGAAAATCGACAGAACTTATAAAAATCGTTAGATCTTATAAAAAGCGATAAAACTTATAATAATTGACATATCTTATAAAAATCAACACAACGTATAAAAATGTCAATTCAGAAAACAAAAAATTACAGAAATTTAATAAAAATGCAGAATTTATAAAACAATTGACGTAACTCATAAAAATACAAAAATAATAAAAAATGACAGAACCTATAAAAATCGACAGAACTTACAGAAAGAAAAATGACAATACTCATAATAATCGACAGTTATTATAAAAATCAACATGACTTATAAATATGCTAAATCAGGAAACAACAAATTACAGAATTTTAATAAAAACGCAGAACTTATAAAACAATTGACGGAACTTATAAAAAGACAGAAATAATAAAAAATGACAGAACCTATAAAAATCGGCAGAACTTACAGAAAGAGAAATGTTAAAAAATCGAAAGAACTTATAACAATCGCTAGATCCTATAAAAATCGACAACTTATAATAATCGACAGATCTTATAAAAATTAACACAACTTATAAAATGCCAAATCAGAAATCAAAAAAGTTACAGAATTTTAATAAAAACACAGAACTTATAAAATCGATAGATTGGTAAAAATAGAAACTGCTTATTTATAAAAAATGTCAAACCCGCAATGATAAAAAAATTACAGAATTTTCAAAAAAATACAGAACTTATAAAACAATTAACAGAAATACAGAAATGATAAAAAAATTGACAGGACCTATAAAAGTCGACAGAACTTATAGAAATCAAAAGAACAAAAAATCAACAAAGATGATAAAAAGTGACAGATCATACAAACCAACAGAACTTATAAAGACGCCAAACCAGAAACAATAAAAAATTACAAAACTTTAAAAATACAGAACCTATAAAAATCGATAAAACTTACAGAAAGAGAAATGATAAAAAAAGTCGAAGAATTTATAAAAAGCAACAGAACTTATAAAAATCAATAGATCTTATTAATATCGACGAAACAAAAAAATGTTAAACCAGAAATGATAAAAAATGACAAAAAAATGCAGAATTTATAAACCAATAAAATTGACAGAACCTATAAAAGTCGAAAAAACTTACACTAAGACTAATAAAAAAATCGACAGAACTTATAAAAATCAACAGAATATGAAAATCAAAAGAAATTATAAAAAACAGAATTTACAAAAAAAAAAGAATTTATGAAAATACAGCTGTTGCAACTAGATCTTCCACGTACTGAATATCTTTTACATATATAATTCAAATTTTAACATTTTAAACACAACTATCGAATATATTCTCAAATTTTTTGATAGAGTTTCCTCTATATGAAATCCATTTTTGTAACAACGTCTAAGATTACACAAAAAGTATTTCAGGTCTCCAGATGATAATAATTATAATTTCTTGTTACAAAACAAAGTTTATTTAAAGTTATTTCGTTTACCTCAAAAACCACACATCTATAATCACAAATATTAAATTGACATTCAAAAACATTAAAATTTGAAAACAATTGAAAACCCTTAACTTTATGTATTGAAACATGTTTTGATTATATGTATATTAAATCTTACGGAAATATTATTTTATTATCTAGTGAGAAATAAAGTATATTTTTAAATGAGAAAATTTGGAAAAAATATTAAGAAGAAATGCTGGTGACATCACTAGGTAGAGGCTTGTGCTATCTATAACGAAATACAATTTCTATTTTGTTTCACATTTTGTATTTAGTGCGTTGGTAACATTAAAACAATCTAAACCATGTAGGTACTTTAAAAATAAATCACCTAGACGAACGAAATCAAGATAACATGAGCAGAATGAAAATGATAGAGATCATAACATACGGTGGATCAACACGAAATTTTCATGTTAATAAATAGCCGACCACTTAAGACGTCATATCCAGTGAAAGGAGGCGTGCCTACGGCCGAGATTGCCGATACGTAACAAAATCTGACAGGTCGAGTCACTAATTACCCGTGATATATCACTATATAAACAGCGGCTGTGGGCCAGGTCAACGCTTAAAGTGTTAAAACACTAAAATATATTAGTTCCTGGCCGGGCTTCATTTACATGACGGCCGCAAAGCAGACGCCCATATTTATAATAGTTATCTAGCAACACATAGGTAAGAATTATTCATAGATTTGCATATAGCACCCGTTCATCATGGACGGCTTTTGTGTCTTTCATCCTTCTCTAAGCGATTTTTTTCATCTTTGTAATTAAAATGAGTTTCCTTCGTTCGCGCCAGGATGTGCATTGTGTGTATGTACTAACACTGCGTTAGTCTAGGCTCAACGTAAAAAAAAAACGACAACAATATCCAAAGGAATACAAATTCATGAAAGACCGTTTTCTCGCAGTTTCATAAGATAGTTGACGGCAATAACATTGTTTCAGCACATAACTTAAAATTAAATGCAGAAAAATCTGCTGTAGTGACATTCGGCACGAAAAAATGTATTCATGATATTCGTAACACCATAAAAAATTAATAGCCAACAAAATGTTTTACTATTTAGGACTCTGGATCGATTCTAATCTCAAATTTTCTAGACATCTGAGTAATTTATGTCACACTTCTTGCAATGTTGTGAGGCAATTTATCCCAAACAGAGATATTTCCTAGTGTGATACAATCTATGACCCTGAACTCAATTATAGAAGATCTAGAATTCATTGTCTATGTTTTTTCTTTGGTGTTGCTAAGGCTCGATTTCTTGAGGAAATTACTATGCTGTATATAACACTCAAAATAAGCAGAGATCTTTCGCACAATATAATAATTTTTCCACTACAACCATCGGTAAAATCATAGAAGAATCGATCAAGCACAAAAAGATGGTGCATTACGCTCAGCAAAACTAAAACAGTTCAGGTTAACTTCACTAATAAAAGATTAGTAGATAACCTACCAGTGATATTTAATACTAGAATTACCATATTCTAATTCGGCGAAATACTTAACACCCGTATGCATAGTCGAGCGCCATGGAGTCTCCAGGATTTCGCCGTTCGCTATACAAGAATTGTGATGCACAGTCGCTAGCCGCTAAAAATTGCACGCGCTTTATTTTACATTTGTTATGGCGCTTTCGTCAGCGGATTGCTGGTGATAGCGCCGAATTGTATCGCTAACGAATCGCTGGCGATCGACTATGGATATGGGTGCATAAACCTAGATGGGTCTTAAATCGTCGCCTGAGAACCAGGTCCACTTTTTTTAAATTTATATTTTAGTATCAAAGTATTCTATGTCTCAAGCTCTAGTGACCAAACTATTCCATGTTACTCTGCACCAATCGGTTCAATACTTACAAAGAGTCTAACTTATACTATTGCCATCAGAACATTTTGAACAACGTTCATGTGTAGTGTCCGCGTTTACAGTGTTTAAGTCGTGAAAATAAGTTAAAAATAATGAGCAATTCGGAAAAATACCTTTCGGAACCTAACCAGGACTCAAGGTCGGAGTATGAACCAACTGCAACGAATAATAATAAACGAAATGTAAGTTATTAATTTTTAAAATATTATAGCTTGGAATGAATTCCTTCCTTATATAATTTTTCAGTATCGATGCAAATGAAGGTTTTAGTGTCGATACCGATAAGAATTCTTGTGATTCCGATACTTTAATATGTAGCAAAGGTTCAGGTCACAAAAAATATCACTTTGATACGAGGCAAAACGAAATTCCTGGGACATCAAGTGCTAGGAATTTAGATAGTCCAAGCAAAACAGATGGTACATCCCAAAAGGTCGAGATGATATGCCAGTCGACGATGATGTTTAAAGGTATTTTAAAACTATTACTACCTAAATTAATGTATTGATTAATTTTGATTGCTTTTTTATTTTTTAGAACAAAATCCACCAGAAAAAGAAAAGTTAACCAGAAAGACTGAAAGAAAAATATAAGAAAAACGTTACAACAAAGTGGAAAAGAAGGGCTAGGCTTTCAGAAGAAACTGGATAAACTGTCGCTTTAAATGTCTGCACAATTTCAGTGAAGAAGAAGCAGGGCTAATTCATAATGAATTTTGGACAAATACTAATGACGCGAAAGGACATTCCGGGTGGAACGCCAGAGAAACAGAAATGTGAGACAGAGAACCAAGAGTTTTTCTTACAAGTATTTTTTCATCAAGAACGGACAGAAAATTCGCGTCTGCAAGAAATTTTACTTGGGGGTCGTAGATATAAGTCAGATCAGAATTGCTTATTTTTACAGCAAGAAGAGAATGGGAATCACAAGTACTCCCAGTCAGTACCAAAGAGGATGCCGCACAGAAAATAGAATTGGTGAGGAGCATATACAATTAATCAGAGATCACAAAAATATGTTGCCTCGTATACCTTCACACTACTGTAGAAGAAACTCCTCCAAAGAATACTTAGAAAGGACATTATCCTTGTCAAAAATGTATGAGCTTTATGTAAAGTGGTGCGACGAAAAAAAATTTGCCCCACAGAAGAAGTGGCTTTACTATCATATTTTTAATTTTGAATTTATTCTGGGATTCCATGCTCCGAAAAAGGACTTATGCAACGTGTGCACAGAATATAATACAAAAAAAGATGAACAAACATTAAACGAAGATTTAAATAAAAAATACAATGAGCATATAAAAGCTAAGCTAGAAGCTAGCGAAGAAAAAAAAACAGAACATATAAGCCTGTAAGAATAGTCCGTCTACAGCTCTACTATGTTTTAATATGCAAAGTGTTCTAACATGTCCACAAACACAGGTTTCAATATCTTACTATTTATAATTTGACTGGTAATGACGTTTTTAAAAAGACCGGTTATTGGATTTTGTGGCACAAACTGTTGGGTGGAAGAAAAGGTGTTGATATTGCAAGTGCTTTGTATGTTCTCCTTGAAAAATTGTTGTCGGATAGATCTAATGTAGAAAACTGATTTTGTGGTCGGATGCATGCGTGCCCCAGAATAAAACCTAGCACATGGCAGCTCTATTGTATTTTTTAAGTGAGCATCCTGAAATTGAGTACATTATTCAAAAAATTCAAGTCTCAGGACATAGCTGTGTCCAGGAAGTTGACTCAATGCATAGTACCCAGTCTATAGTTCATCAGAATAAAAAGGAGAAAATATCATTGGGTGAACTCTCAGTTTTAATCCTCTTAAGTTTATAATAAAGGCAAATTGCTGGTTGACTAAAACATTGCTATAGGAGCAATGTAAATCAACAAAAAAAATAAATCGAAACCAAAATATTCTAATATTTCCTCATCGTAATGAGACCATTTTGTAAAAAAACAAAATAGCCGAACGAAAGACTGATTCCATTAATATATTGTCCATTTACTTTAATTCATTTTTATACAATACTTTTGTGTACATTTTGTCAACTGAATCGCTTATTTCAGAAACCCCACATGTCCATTAATCAGTATTTCGAGAAAATCTGAAAAAACTGTTTTATTTAAAAACCACTTGTACATTTATAAAGACATGTACCTCAATATAAAGTATAGGTAATTGCTGTAAAGTTTTTAGCAAAAACGAAAAATAAAAAATCTTTTGGTCTTGTGACAAAAAAATTAAAATGGCAGTGGACTGTGTGGTTTCTCAAATATATACACAACTTTTTTTTTAAATTAGTTTATTTGGTCAAAATAATGAGAAATACAATAAAAAAAAAAATAATAATAAATACAGTCAGTATTCAATAGTATCATCATCGTCGCCACCAGCAGTTGGCCATTCGAATATTCCTCGATAAAAGTTTGAAATTTCTTCACCTTTTCCTACGATAAACCTCTGAAACTTTTTATTATTCAACATTTTTTTGCACTGATTGGGACTTTTGTATTAGGGTATGCAACGACTGTGGGAGAAGATCTGACAACAGTAGAACTTCCTAGCTTAAATTTGTGTTTCATTGGGCCATCAATAAAATTGCAAGCAGACACAACAGTTTTCTCCTCCTTGTAGCTGAAGTGCATAAAATTGGAAATCAAAAAAGAAACCTTATTTTCCTTTTTACTACCCCTTCCGTAAGATGCTGTAGACAGAGAATTTAATTTGTAGTAAATGGGCTACCATTTTTTGTAGTCTTTAATCACTGTATTTTCTTCATCTATTAGTGCTTGAACTAAGAATCAACAAAACATAATCTTTTAGGAGAAAAACCCTGTCATTTTTATTAATATTCTTTTTTACCATAGCAAAATCCCTGTCACAGGGCATGTAGGAATGTCCTCTTAATGGGAAATACTGGTTCACACTATGAAATCGTCCAAGGTCTGCAAGGCCTAAGCACTTTCTAAAAACTGAATGGTTCTTGTTTTGACCCCCACATGCGTCCGAAAAAATATGAAAATATGTTTGGTGATATTTTCCTGTTTATACAATCCATAATGAAGAAGCAAGCTTCATTTGGCCCCTTTTTGCCCATACATTCGTGGTATACTTAAAATATAGTTGTTCCAGCCTTAAGGTCGTGGATATTAAAAACATTGACAGTTGTGTCTTGAACTGGAATAACAGGAAGGGCAAGATTTTGCATATAGTCAACGCAAATTGCTACTATAGTAGCATCTGTTTGGCATAACTCTTGAATCGACTTCATTTTGTTATAGAATTTTTTAGCTCTCCTTTGGTGGACAATTTTCTCCGCCACAGCTACATGTTGAGCAATGACGTTTAGGGCCTTAAGATTTCATTTTGTTGGAAAGTTCCTCAGAGGTGCAGCAGGTATCGACCTGTAGTCTTCCGAAAGACAAGTTTACGGTCTACATCGTCGGCTAATTGTACTCTTGCGTTTATCTCTAATTTTATTATAATTAGTGTTCTGTTTAGAGGTAGTTTACACATCTAAACCTGGTTAATAGCCCCTATGCGTGGACCGTAAGAACATTAACAGTTATTTAGGGGCTATCCGTGGAAACTATTAGATACCACGCTTTGTTTTTTGAAAATAGCGAACGGCTACTACTGTCTGACGTTAGAAAACTCTGGTATATAGCAAATTTTTGTTAGATTCACATGGCCTAGAATTTCTACAATATATTATTTTTCAAAGAAAATATAATTTTTATCATATTATCATAGAAGTTAGTAGTAATAATTACGATAATTGTAATAAATTTCGACTTCTACAAACAATAGAAAAATATACTAAACATTCTCGTCTTCCTTCCTATTGTTATAGTTTTGAACTATAAATTATAGTAAAATTTGTTACAAAAACTTATGTATATTTCTACAAGTTGACTAGTACAACATTGTAGTAAAATTTTAGAGTTACACTTTTGTCTAATTTTTCCTTAGAAAAAGTAAGAGCCACATTAAACAAATTGTTGACTGGCTTATATTTTCAGCATTCATTTGAAAATAAATATTAATTTGCGGTAAAATTTTGAAAAGTCTTTAAAAATGCCATTTAATGCAATACAAATCCAATATGAAGTTCATAAGAAAAATAAATTTATAGTTGCTATCTCGAAAATGGTAAGAGATATTCATTTGTTTTATTTTTTATTATAAAGACTTCAAAAAAGTGCCTACAGAATGTCTAAACCAAACTACCATATATTATTAAATAACTGAGATACGGGGTTTTGTCAAAAAGGCACCATTTTATTTATATTATATCAAATACCAAAAACAACTCATGATATGTTATCGTGGTTCTGAAATGGTAATAGAATTAATGGAAATGCCAGACTTGGGTGCGAATAGAAATATTTTCGAAAAGTTTATTGACAACGTTCTCAAAATAATATCTTACAATGACCAAAAATGCAATAACAATAACAACAACATCAAAGTCTCCATAAAAAATCTAACATTCGACCATCCTGGTAATGTTTGTTCTCAAACATAGTGTCTAAACTTTTCCGGTTACCTACGAGTTCTCCTTGGTCTGTACTGTAATCTACATCTTGGGTAACTTCTTATAAATCTTCTAAATCGTCTAGACTCTGTGTGATCTGACTCATTAAAATTTTTAATGTTTACTATTTCATTAAAAAGGATTTCGTCATCTTCATTATCCATATCATTACATTCATTAAAATTTTAATAAATTTTCATTTGTGATACTTGGTATATTCTGATTTTATTTGTTCCGTCTCTGTTCAATTTTTGTAATTTATAAGTTTTACCAGTTAATACTTCTACTACTACAAAGTTGCCTCAATACTTTGTTTTAGTTTTTGTGGGTTGATTTTTTTATCTTTTCACATTATTTTCAACATTCTTTTTAATTTTGTTACGTATTTCTTTTGAATTAGCTGATTCTATATCATCTTCTCTCAAGTTTGTTATTACAGCCTCTTCAAATATGGGCCTAAAATCATATACACTTTCAAATTTTGTAAATTCAATTGTCTTATTAACAGCATTATTTATTTGTTTTTCTATTAGCTTTATAAAGTGTTATCCCATTTTCTATTCTCAAAATTAATTGGTTACAATACATGGTACTATCGACTTCATTCTAATTTCAGCCATACCATTTGATTTTGGAAAATGTGCAGCTATAAGTTTATAGTTAAAGTACTTTTTACAATTGCTTGATAAGATTTGCGTTTCTAACATCTAATATTCGCCATTTGAAAGAGAAACATTGCATATTTTACCGATTGGATAGCTCTATAACCGAGATAGCAATACATACAATATGGGACAGTGTAGACAAAACTAACATTCACAAATATTTAGCTGACTAGGTACGTATTTCTAAAAACTTAGCAAAGCAGAAATATAACATAAATATATCTACCTGATTCTTTCAAATGATTCTTATTATTGAAACATATAAGTTGTGAGAAAGCGTTTGCCTTGAAATTTCTGCTCTATGTGATCAAGTTGCTATGAAAAACGCAAACAAATACCGTTTTTTTTGTTATTGATAAACGTCAAACTCATCAATAATTGAACTCTAAAT